TTATGGAGTCAGAGTCTGCCAGGGCTCCATTACAATGAGATTTAGGCATGCATTATGTCATTAAAACTAATGACAGCAAGACGGTTACTTCGAGGAACCCACAGCGACACTGCACAGCAATGTGGTGCCTCGCCACTGCGGCTTCCCTTGCTTCCCTGACCCAGACTCGGGGTGCAGAGTTGGGCTGAGAAGAACCAGCCTGGTTCCCTTGAACCCCCAAGCCCTGGCCAGGCTGAAGGGCTGATTATTGCTCCTGGGCCACTGTGCTGCCTGACAACCTGAGTGAGAACCCCTGGGAGTTCTCCGAGCTGTCAGGAGTGGGGGCGGCTTGCTCAGCCCGGGCAGGGGCGGGGGCACTCCTGCGGGATTGCGGGTAGGAAGAAGGAAATGGTGTGGGGGGGAGGCAGAAGGCCAGGTTCTGGTCCTGCTTAGCTCCCTGGGACCTGATGGAGGGACCTTGGCAAAAGGTTGAAGGCTCGTAGCACACAGCTAGCCATTACAGGTAGCACCTGTGAAAGCATGTTGTGGTTTTAAACGCCATTCCGTAGAGCAGTGAGGGATTGTGGGAACACAGGTCCGTGCACTTGGTTTTGGAACCAAGAATTTGCCTTCTAACAAGTTCCCAGGTGACTCTGAGAACCACCTGGTTTGGGCTGATCACGCTCCCGGGAGCAATGGGAGCTCTTCACCTCCCACCTACACCTCCAAATGCACCTCTGTTAGCCTTTCTTGGCCGTTTGTACCTCTTCCACCTGGGAAATGCAAATGCCACTCTGGCCCCAAGAACCCAGCCTACCTCACTTACGAGACAGGCTCTTGCAGTCACCAAGTGTAAATGAGTAAGGCTGGAGGCATTAGCACATGCAGAAGCATTGGCCTTGCAGCCAAGAGCAGAGCTAAGCAAAGACTGAAACTTTTCTGAGAGAGTTTCCATCATTGGTGCACTGAGTGTTTCAGGGTGAGGCAGGAAGCCTCTCTGCACCCCCCCCCAATCACATTTCATAGGTACTATTTGTGTTACCTAAGACTCAGAAGAGATTGCGTCTTTATCATTATTTTATTTCCAGTGCCCACCAGGGTACTGTAGGTGATCAGTAAGTGTGTGCTGTGTGAATGAACAGCAAGTGCTCTGGCAGGCGGAGAGGGGGGCCCTGTCCTCTGCCTGTAGCAGACCCAAGCTGAGAGCCAAGTCCTTTCAACCCCTTTGCCAATGACTCATCAAAATCAACAATCACAGACCGACTGCCTACTGCATGAGGGCCTCAGGCTGGACCATGGGCCAAAGACATCCCCCAGGGTGACCGATGTACCAGTCAATCCATCGAAGTTTCCTTTCTTTATTCGTTCATTCATTTATCCATTCATCCATCCATTCACTCAGTAAGTCACTGCTAAGCACATGCTATGTGCTGACATGATCCCCAAGAGAGAGGCGGCACCACGCTGGCCCTTAAGGACCTCGTGTGGCAGCGTGACAGGACCCTGGAGAGGAACCCGTGCAGCAGGGAAAGCATTTCCGGGAGAGGGAGGGAGGGAAAGTGCAGGTTCCCCGAGAAAGTCTACACTGCTCTGAGCAGGCCGGGGGATGAGTCAGCAAAAGTCTCGCAGGGATTCGGAGAAGCAGAGGCTAGGCAGGGAGCAGGGCCTCTCCTTGCCACCTCCTCGGGTCTGCCCCACACTCAGCCTGCCCTGACACTTGCTGGGAGCCTCCTGAGCCTGAGGCCAAGGGAGCAGCCCTGTGCCCATTCCACAGGCACAGAAACTGAGGTCCAAGCTCTCTAGCAACTGTGTGAGAGCACAGCAGGGCATAGTGGGACAGGAAGTGGGACAGGGGTGAGTTCTTTGTCACTGTCACCAATATTGTCCCCATGGCTAACATTTACTGGACAGTCACTCCCTGCCAAAGTCAGAACCGAGCACTCTGTAAGCACTTAGCTCTTAAAATCTGCACGCCTCTATTATGATCCTCATTTTGAAAATGGGGAAATGGAGGTCCAGAGGGGTGAAGCGATACAACCAGAAAGTACCAGGACCAGTACCTAGATCCGGAGCCTGCGTTCTTAGCCGTCGTACCACACTACCTTTCTGTACCTCATGGAAGGGGCCAAGGCTAGAGAGGTTAAGGACTTTGCCTAAAGCCACACAGCAAGGAAGCAGCTGGAACTGGAACTCGGGTCTGGCAGCACAGCACGCCGCAGTCTCTGGAGGCCCGCAGGGCTGGGCAGGAAGCCCCACAGGGCTGGAGAAGAGGAAGAGAAGGGCTGTTTCTGCATGCTTCCCCTGCTCCCTCAGCACACACAGGCTTCCATTCTGGGTGGCAGTTGAATAATTTAAACTCCTCGGTTCCAGCCCACCACTACTGGGTCCCAGGTTTATTTTTATCCCAGGTTACAGCCACAGCTCTTAACAGAAATAAACCGTGCCGTTTGCTTCCTGTCGCCTTCACATCAACTTCTGTCTTGTCTGCATTTACGGCCAGCTCCCCACTCAGTGGGGATTCAGAGCAGGAGCTGGGTCCGTATGTCATGGTGGTTTTGAATCAAAAACCGCAAAGTTTCCATGACCCGCACAGAGAGGGGGAAAGGGTTAAATAAAGAGGAAGACCACATCCTGTAAACACCACAGTCTCCAAGAAAATCCCCAGAGCGGCCGGCTGCCACCCCGACTGACCAACAGACCAACCGGAGCACTCATCCGCCCGGAGGTGTACAGAACAGAAGGAAAAGAGCTGGAGCTGGCGGGGTACCCGGCTGCACCCTCTTGGAACCACAGGGTCTCTGGCTGCCACTGCCTCCCCTCCTGCCAGCGAGGAGGGGCTGTCCGCATTGGCCTCCAGGGCTAAGCTTCTGGATCTGGGGAGGCAAGTTAACTCGAAGGTTCTTCCTGGGCGCCCTGGGGCTGGGGACCGGGAAAGGAGTGCAGCATCTTCCTGAAGGTGGTTGAATGTTGCTTACTGTGTGGCGTCAGGCAAGTTGCTTTCCCTCTCTGGACCCCCTTGAAAAAGGTTAGAAAAGCACAGTGCTAACCCTTCCTAGAAGTGTGGGCACGTACATACTCAAATCCCTCATAGTCCCAGCCCCTCGGAGCAGGAAGGGGCCTTGTGGTCACTTAAGCTTATTGCCTCATTGCATATATGGGGAAACTGAGGCCCACAAAGGGGAGACAGAGCTTAGATTTAGATTTTTTTTATCAGATCTGAGTCCAGGGCTCTTTCTAGAAGATTCCAGTTCCCTCTCCCTGGTGCATCACAATGCACCACTTCAAATGTGGTTGGGGAGGAGGGAGTGTGGCCTCCTGGCTCGCAGCCACCCTTGGGGACATGAGGCAGCAGGGCGTGTGTAGGAAGCCCTGGTGTCTGGACACGCTGGTCCCATCCCTCGGTTGGGCTGGTATGCATCATAACATCCCGTACTGGATGGCAGTGTGTTCTGAGGCCCCTGCAGTCTCCTTAACAGCCCCTCAAGGTCTCCCAGACCTCCCCATAATCCAGCAATCCACACAGCAGTGAGCCCCTAAGATCCCCCACGCGAGGGTCCCCGCCATGGTTCATTCTGATCTGTCAGGGCCAAAGTTCGATATTTTACATATTCCGCATGGCCAGATGTGTAGCTTTTTATTTGAACCAAATTTCTCCATATTCATCATTCATGCTTGAGGCTTCCCTGGGAGGAAACTAAGGCAACTTCTCTCTCAAGGTCACCCAACAATGGAGCAGGGTGAGAAAGCAGGGATTTTTGACCACCGAATCTTTGGCACTAACCAGCAGGCAACCCTCTCCCTCCAGCTCCTATGTCCTGCCTGAGCAGGTTTGTGCTCTAGGGCTGGAAATAATGGCTGAGCGGCCCCTGCTTACACTTCAGGCTTGCCAGTCTCTGGGGCTGCTGTTTGATTCCTCTCGCAAGAGCAAGTGCTTCAAGAAGAAATCCTTGGGGGTGGGGAGCACAGAAGGCTGAAGTGGCCCCTGAGATAATAGCAAAGATACTAAAAATAAGGACGTTCATTTCCAGAAAGGTAGATGCAATTAAAGCAGAAAGCAAAGAGAAATCCTCTTTTGATGGGTCACAGATTAGCAGCAAAGGCATTTTAAAATTAAATGTGAGCTTTTGGATTCAGTTACAAGAGACCTCTGCTTCCCACTCGCTAACAGGTTGATGCAGGCTTACCCCATCCTGATCCCAGAAAAAGAAACTAGTGCAGGCCCCTAGATCATCTGCCCTGCAGTGGGTCGGGAGCTGGTGGCTGGAACCCTTCCCCAGGATGTGAACCAGTCACCGTCCCCTCTGTCCCTCCTGGGACTCCAGCTCAAGGATAGAGTGATGCACCCCCCCCTCCCCAGCAATCACTTACAGGTTCCACCACCTGTGAAAACAAACAACTGCCCAGCAGGCAGCTGGCTGCTCCCTTCTGCCCTTCTTGACCACTCATTCCAAGCACAAAGTGACCTTTTAATCTCCCCCAGCTCCCCCATCTTAAGAAAGCTTGAACAGCTTGCAAAATCCACCACAATTAAATTACTCAGCTGGCCCTGAAAGATGGTACAATCTAAATCCTGCCCTGTGCAAGCCTCTGCCAGTGTGTCCAGGCAAGGGTTAACGTTCCAAACCCAGATGGACCTCTCCCTACCAGGACCAGTATGCTGAGGCACGAAAACCAAACACCCAGAGACCACGCGAGACTGACCAGCCCCACAGAGGGTTAAATCACTCACAGAATTGCCTGCCACTTTCAACAGCTCTTGCTGCAAGGGAGACAAATTGGGCAGAAGCCACTTGATCACACTGCCCAGAACATGAGCACATTTTACCCCCCTGCCCCAGGCACTGAGCTGAAATCTCATTTGGCTTTGGGGTGTCACTTTGGCGACAAAACACCGTAGAACATGGGCAAATAGACATGGTCATTCCTCAGCGCCCCTCTCCTCTCAGCCCAGCTCAGGCACACCCCTACCTCCGAGATCCCCATATCCCCAGACCCTTTGCACGGCCAAGAATATCTCTTACCGCGACACCGGAGGATTGCAGGGACAGCGGGGAGCCAGATTCTTGTCAGCTCCTTCCTCCCCTGCTGGATGGCAAGATGCTAACTCCCGATGACTTGGTTTGAGAGCTCAGCAGAGGTGCCTGGAAGAAAATTGTTCATTTGACTTTCCTACTCTTTGCAAAATAAAATCAAGACACCAACACACACACACACACACACACACACACACACACACACACACACACACACACACACACACGCTAAATCAAGCAGGACCAAGACAAAAAGAAATACCGCTGCCAGAAGAGAGAAAACTCAGATAAGCCAGGGTCCGTGCATAGCAGACGGCGGATTCATTCAGACTGTCCGCCACCTGGGTGAAGGTATTTGGTGAGTCTCTGTCTCTCTGTCTCTCTTCTCTTCCTCTTTCTCTTCCTCTTCCTCTCTCCCTCTTCCTCCTGTACGCGCCTCGGCAACTCGGGGCTGCTGGCGGTAGACGAATGAATTGCTTCCCCGGCGCCCGATCGGGCAGCGGCTGTCACCGCTACCGCAAAACCCAGTGCTAGCTAGGGAGGGGCGGCGGCAGCTTCCCAGCACAGGGGAACCGAGCCTGCCTCCCACCCGTGATTTATGCGGGCGGTGCCCGGAGAAAGAGAAGTGGGAGGCCGTGAGGCGAGGCTGTGCGCGCGAGAGAGCTCAGCTGGTGGAAGCGGCAATCGGGGATTGGCGGTCAGCACCGCGGACAGCGCTAAGGTGCGGGAGGAGGGGATGGGCGGGACGCGAACCCCTAAGGCGAGAAGTTAAGTTATTGGATGGTTGGAGCTGGGAAGGGGGGAGGCCAGAGGGATGGGAGACGGGACTTTCTGACCTCACACAGTCCAATCGGTGACAACCTCCCCACCACACACTTGTTCTAATATTGTCACTCTCTCCAAGCAAAGCAGCTGTAACTTCGCAGCACCTTTCTCAGAAACAGCCCTAGAGTCCACTGCTTCTCTGCTCAGAGAACTGGGAGTTCAGTATGAGCCTCTCCCAGCGGTCTGTCTCCCTGCACCCTCAAAACCCAGCCTGGCTTGCCAGTTCTCGCCCACCTTCCTGCAGATTTCTGAACTGTACCTTGGAATTTTTGTTACTCAGGGCAGGGAAGATAAGGCTTGGCTTAAAGAAATTTCTCAGAGGTGGGATGGCTTAGGTAAATAATCACTTAGCATGTTTCTAGGAGCCAGTTCCTGCCTCTTCCAGCCTTGGAAAAGACATTTAATGTTTCCAAGTCCCAACTGTAAAGTGAGGATATGAATACTTTATTTTCCTAAAGGTCAGAAAAGAGAGGTTTAAAAAAGAAAAGGCAACAATAAGAACATCAGTATTTTGGGATACTATGCTTTCTCGATCTAAAACATGTCTGACAATGCAAATGTTTTAACAGAGAGAAGAAGAAATTGACAGTGTACCAGGACAGCAGGCGTCAACCTTTAGCATGTGGTCCAAAGTGGGATGATGCTGGAAATTTTGGGGAATTCTACATCAGACATTTGAGCCTTGACCAGAGACCTCTCCCCAGAGAAACCCAGATTGGCTTTCTGAAGTGAAATTACTATCTGAAAAGAAAATAAAATCATTAAAGGGGAGAAAGAGAAAAGGAGGAGCAGAGCCCCATGGTGCTCCAGAGTTCAGGGGTCCCGTTCCTGGTAACTATGGGGAAGCATTCACATTGGAGGAAAAAATAGAAAATCTCAACAAATCAAGCTCTACTCAGAACTGTTCTATAAAGTGAGAGCAGTTCCCTTTCAGGGAGGGACTCTCATTAAAAATTTCCTGCTCACGTAGCCCAGGGCAACTCCAACATTTGCCACTTAATTGTCCACTTGAGAGTAGGACTTGCAGACCATTAGATCTTCATTTTTTTTGATGAGGTTGATGATGGTGGTGATTGTCCTGATGGTACTGATCATGGGGATGGTGAGGATGATGCTGGTGGTGGTGGTAGTGGTAATGATTTCAGTGACAGCTGCTGAGAACTGACTATGTGTCAGCCATCCTGCTAGCAACTTTCCATACCTCTTCCATTCTCCTTTGAAGGTACTATTATTATCCCCATTTTATAGATGAGAAAACTGAGACTGGAAAAACTAAATTCTAAACGTACATGGCTCAAAGGTACATGGCAAGTGGCAGTCACAGCATTCAAACCCAGGGTTATATGATTCCAAAACCCATGCACCAGAATGTTTATCTCTCAGAGTCAAGCTCAAATGTATACTTCAATTTTTTTTGCAAGATCTCATTGAATATTTTCTGGAAAAATTCCATGACACAAATTTTATCTCTTCACTCTACAGATGGACAAACTGAGGACCAGAGATGGGGAGGGGCTTGCCCACAGTTAAAGAGCTAGTTGAATGTGGAATCAAAGACATTAAGATGCCTGGACCTGTGTTCTCAAACCTAGAACAATCCAGGCACATAGTAAGTCCTCAATAAACATTTGAATAGTTGTTCAAGAAAACCAGAGAGGGATAAAAGCCACCCTGGATTCTAATAGTGAAATCAGAACACTAGGAGTTCTTAAGCACCTTGTTCCTTAGTCCCAAGGAATATCTATACCATCTGCAGCTTATTCAGAGGATGAAGCTAGCTACCACCTGCTAAATGCCTCAACCCTCACCATGTACCCAGCATGGTGCTGAGCAATGATTAACTCCAATCTTTACAACTCTATGAGTTGGATGCTAGTATTGTCCTGTTTTGGATGAGAGGACGAAGGCTCAGCCAGGGGAGGTGAAGCCCTGAAGCTCTCCCAGGCAGGAGGCAGCAGGGGCAGGCTGTAAATCTCAAATCATCCGGCTCCGAAGCCTGTGTCTCTCCCACCCTGCTAATCTTTTCCCAAACCAGTCCCCCCTCCCAATCCCCCTCCAGGAAGTGAAAAGGAGGCCTGAGCTGACCCCCAGCCTGGTTTCCACTAGAACAGTTGTGCTTTTAACTGATTTTGCATACTGGGCATCTGTCCAAGCCTTCATTGAAATAAGGGCTTTGCAGCAAAATTAAAAAATAATAATACGGTTGAAACCAGAGCTCTGCACCCTCCCTGGTGACCGTGTCCTCTAGGAACCAGCCCTGCCTCCTCAGGGGGACCTTGCCCCACCTCCCCATGCCCTGATCACCACCTCCACTTCTCTCCTCTATCCTGAGTGCTCCTGGAAAACTCTTCATTCAAAGAATCGGCAAGCTCCGATAGCTTTGTGACAATGCAGCAGGGAGACTCCTTGAAACCAGAGTCCTCGAGGCTGAGCAGCCAGGCCCTGCTGCTTCCTGAGGTTTCAGGCAAAGCTGGAGCAGCCGCAAAGAGACACCTCGGGGCCCTGGGATCAGTCACTCGCCTTGTCCTTGTTCTGTTGAACACCCCAGTAAGACTCCCCCACATCCCAGGGAGGTTGTGAAAGGACGGTGGTAGTCATGGCTATGACCAGCACTCCCCCCTGGGCTCTGGGTGGCCCCTGGGCATCCCATAATTATGGATCTTCACCCCAATCCTACATCAGGATGGTGTGGTTTCATTTCCATTTTACAAATGAGAAAACTGAGATTCAGATGCTCAACACCACCAGCTCGAGGCCATTCAATTCCTAAGCGATGGGAAGGGACTATAACCAAGCCCCTCTGAGTTTACAGCCCTACGTGGCATCCCTAGTAATAATAATAGACTCGCCTGTTTACTTTGGTGCCTGATATTCACCAGCTGCAGTGCTTGGTCAGCCCAGGGCACTGCAGGGGTCACAATAATAGAAAGAGGTTGTGGACATTATTGATCCATCTTAGAGATGAGGAAGTTAGACAGCGAGGTGTCAGGTGACCTGCCAAAGACGCTGCACTTAGCAGGGGCAGGGTGTGAATCTAACGTCCTGTCTCAGAGCCGTTTGCTTTTCTGTCTCCCAAGGAGATGGGTACTAAGGAGGCCCAGAAAGAAAGGATTCTCCCATTTCACTTTGCAAGTGTGGTAGGTGGCATAATGGCCCCCAAAGCTGTCTACATCCTAGTCCCCAAGTAGTTAATATATTACCTTAAGTGGCAAAAGGGGGCTTTGCAGATATAAGTTAAGCTTCCTGGGTTATGGGGTAGGGCCAATGTTCTTTAAGAGCTGGCACAGGAGAACCAGGGTCACGGGGAGAGGCGATGCTGGAAGGGTGGGAGTAGGGTGACATGCCATGTTGTTTGTCTTGGTCTAAAGGTCGAGGAAGGGACCCATAAACCCAGGAATGTGGTGGCCTCGGGAAGCTGGGAAAAGCAAAGGCGTGGCTTTTTCTCCAGAACTTCCAGAGAAACGTGCTGACACCTTGCTTTGAGGGCTTCTGGCCACTGGAGCTGTAAGATAACAAATGTGTGTTGTTTTGAGCCAACAAGTTTGTCGTTGTTTGTTATAGCAGCCACCGGGGACTAAAAAGGTTGCCAGGGGACTCTACAATGAAGAGCCCACAACGAAATGGTTCAAGCAATGATTCCTGAGCTCCCTCTTGGTCAGAGGACCCAGTGCTTCAGTCTTAGCACAGCCCACCTGAGCAGTAGGGTGCGTGTGCAGAGGTGTGCACACCCACATGCAGAAGCCAGCCCTGCAGAGGGAAGGACTCATGCTCAGAGCCTGAGCTGGATTTCTGGGCTGTCCCCCTACCCCTCCTCCTCTGATGGCCCACAGGGAAATGCTATCATCAGGAACACAAAAGGGACGAAATGTCACAGGGCAGCTTTCCAGGGGTACAACTCTCCACAAGAATCCCTCAGAGGCAGGACAAGTAAATGAGGGAGAGAGATTAGAGAGAGAGAGAAAGGGATGGAAAAAAAGAGAGACAGAGAAAGAACATAAATATGAATACTCTTCCTGGAAGCCTTCAGTGTAGCCATGTTTCCCTGAGCTCATGGTCATGAATGGACATTGTATATTTTACATAATAAGTAACAGGCGTCATTTACTTATTTATTTTATTTGTTGTTGTTGTTGTTGTTTGGGTCTTTTTTTTCCAGTACCAGGAATCGAACTCACGACCTTGCGCTTGTGAGGCAGGCCCTGTGCCGCTGAGATAAATCCCCAGCCCCCAGGTGTCATTTATTTAGTCCCTACTGTGTGCTGGGTTCTTAACCAGAGTCCTCCTACTCTCCAGGATGTGTTAAGCAGCATCCAGCCCCAAACCACCACAGCTCCTGGAGGAAGGACAGCAACAGCCAACAGTGTAATCCAAGGGTTAAATAGCCAGGTTTTAGTGTCAGGCTGTCAGGGTTCAACTCTAAGTGTCCTGCATACAAACTGTGTGGCCCTGAGAAAGCTGCTAAACCTCTCTGTGCCTCCATTTCCCATCTGTAGAGTGGATAAGACTGCTTCCTCATGTGGTTAGCACTAGGATCAGATTAGCTAAAATATGTCAAAGCACTTAGAAGGGATCCCGGCACACAGGCGGCCCTGTGCTTTATTAATTACTATTGCTATAGTGATTATTATTTATTCTTGAGGACAAGTGTTTTCCAAAAAAGCAATCATGCTGTGCTGATAATCCAAAAGGTGGTATCAGGTAATACATGCACACGTACTTTTTTTTTTTTTTGGTTTTTCTCCGGTACCGGGAACCGAACTCACGGCCTTGCGCTTGCCAGGCAGGCGCTTTTGCTGCTGAGCTAAATCCCCAGCCCCGCACACATACTTTTTTAAACTTTAGATTTTATGTATTTATTTTAAAGTGCAGTAGAATAGTATTGTATTCCCATTTTCAGCAGTGAAATAACGTATTTGCCTATGCAAATTTATCTAAGTTGATGTAATGT